GCCAGGTTGATTTGTAGCATAAGAAGCATTCGGTGTAGATCCCTGTAACCCGTGATATAAGACTATTTCCTCAAATAGGAATAGAAGAGACTGAACGGTTGAGTGAGAAGGAGGGAGGGGGTGGACGCTGAATTGTTATTCTCAAATGTGGCTACAAAAGTAGTTTTAACTACACCGTTTATCAACTAAGCAAGCAGTGTGAATAAACAGACCAGATTTGTCTTTTTATTGGATTAACTATCGCGGTATTGGGATACTGGAAACCCCTATAAGTTTATCTGTATGTGAAAAAATATAAGACAGAAACCAAAAAAAGCATCTTGTCGAATGCACATGATGATTAGTCAAAAACAGATTTAGTTCACAAAGAAATGGATGTTTGCAATGTTTCAAAAAAAAAATATTTTCGCGAATTTTGTGTGATGATCGCCAAAGTACACAGGGCAGCTGGTTTGGTACTGGTTTGAATGCATCAACTATGCATGCTACATGAATTCGCATGGATTTGAAAAGATTATATATGACCAGGGGTTCGGCTCCCAGACCAAAATTTTCTCGGTTCCGGTCCCATACCCGGGAAAAAAACAGCACGCGATGTTGATGAGTCTCCACATGGATGAAATAGCTGTTTGATATTCAAATTTTTTAAGTCAAATGTGCTGAATACGTGGCGGAAGCAGTGATCTCGAACGGAGTGAGAACCTAAAAAGGGACAGCATCAGGCCGGACCCACGTGTCTGCGAATTCGCATCGAATCACCAAGATCATATGTTTAGTGTGTTTTCAGAATTGTTTATCGAATGGCTACGAATTCATTTAGGTAAATCGTGGTCTAATGTAGAATAAGGCATAGACAAAAATAATAAAAATAAAATAAGTTTTATTCCACATAAGTCTCGGCAGAGTTGAGTATGAGCATAAAAGTATTGGAATAAAACAAGTAACTCACTAGAGCAGAATTGATAATATTAGTCATCAATTTCGCGTGCTCTCAATCAGCTGTCAACGCACATGAAATAGGTTAGGATGTTATAAAAAGAATACCATATATGAACATTCACATAATCATGTGGGTTCAAGCGGAACAAATGGATTGCTGAATCATTCCCAGAGTCATTTTGAGTTTGAGTGTACGAGAAGGTGAGGAGACAATGATTACGCAGACCCAGTAAAAGAGGAACAGTTAAGCAATGGACAACAACGAACCACACTCCGAACTAGTTGGTGTGNGTGTGCGTAAACAGCTGATTGAGAACACTCGAAAATAATGATCAATATCCGTTCTGTCAGTATTGTGTTACGGTTTTATATACAAACTAATCAAAGGAGAAGGATCATAACGACATAAAAATAATATTATTATAACTTTCATGTTAAATTCAATAAAACAAATAGAAGCAAGTAGTGCAGATCAAATTATGTAGAGTTATCAACTACCACGTCCCGATTTGGGATCAAAAGTTTCGCTAGGCAAAAACGGGTATTTGTACCATCATTATCATCATGTTACGTGGTTGGTGATCGAAAACTAAGAATACAGAAATCACAAACGGAGAGGGGGGANGGGGGGAGAGAGAGACAAGCTTTTATCAGGAAATTATTTAGATTGCGAAAATACCGGTGCGATTCAAATTTGCACTTGAGGTTTCACCAACCCCGGCGCGGTATCCACTCGGACTGTTGAGTGTGGCTAAACATATCATTATGCGAATAGAATTTAGAAGCCAATAAAATTTTGTTATGGATTTATTTTCATTTATATGTAGTTGCAGAGGTTTTCAAATATGGCGGATTCATCAAACTCTTTCTAAAGATTTTACGATGATGCCAGACGAATGCAAATGTCGTGTGTTTTAGTTACCAAAATCGTACTGAACCCGAATTGGCTCCAAGACCTGTAAATCATTTGCGCGACTACGATTGGGCAACCTCCCACAGTCCCCGGGGATGCAATTTGTTGTTTCCGTAATTTTTGGCATCCACCAATCAAATGATCCATCAGTCATTACTGTTGCTTTGAGTAGAGGGAGTTTTTTCTCAAACTGGACAAGTGATTGGGTTGGGGATTGAACTCAAGCAAATACGCTTCTGAGAAAGAGTAAAGCACAATACCGGCTGTAATGCGGAACTCAGCTCAACTGGTGAGCGGATGCATAAAACACAAGGAGGCAATTGGACTGGCCTTAATTTATGAGAAAAAGCTGGAAACTCTAAAACTTCGGTACATTAGGTCGGTTGTTAACTGTTAACAATACTGTTCGTTCTATTCGGTAGATTGTTTCGGTGACAATTTTCTCACTCACTCACTCACTCTCTCTCTTTCCCGCTCACTGAATGCTTGACAGCCTGAACTGGATAAGTAAATAGCATTGAAATTAGTAATAGCGGGCAGGTCAAATAAAAAAAAATAAGAAAGGTGTAGCGAGTTGGTTATATAACAGCACTCACCTTGATTTATTTCCATTTCTAACGGTTGTGTGTAAGTTCCTTTAGGGACCAGTTCAGGCTGCAATTGTTGTATACTGTCAGAAACATCCAGGTATAGATCGTCCACTATTTCGTCGCCCAGCTCGGGCAGTTCCATGGAATCCGCGTAACGCAAACGTCGTTGCAAATCCGCTTCCTGGTGGGCTTGGATCACTGACTGCGATACCTCGGTTCCCGACGGATCCGGACAACCGGCTGGAGTCGGGGATTTCGAGGAGTTTGAGAAATCACGGGGACCGAACAATCCGAAAAAGCATTTTCACCGAGTAGCTCAAGTGAATTGGGGAAAATCAATCAAGTTGTTGTTATTGTTGTTGGGGGAGATTTAGGTTTTGTTGTACGGGCAGGGAGAACGGTAAACTGTACTGGGTTGTGGCTAAATTCCCCGAATAATGGAAAAATCCTCGAATTGACCAGCCCGGATCGGGTTTACGAAACGAACAACAGAGGACAAAAATGCCGGTGTCTGCTGATAGCACCCTCACCGAGGTTCGATTCGAAGTATCTTCCTTTTGGGATGTGTATGTATGTGTGTTTGTTCGATGGGCCCAATCGCCCCTGTGTGGCACAGACAGGTAGCAAGATGCACGCGCAGGGTACATACATGGGTGTGTATGTGGTACCTTAGCTGTCTGGCTATCGATCGAGACAATCAGTTCCCCTTAGGGGTAGCCCCTTCAGTTTGTATAGTGTGGTGTACGCACGTACGGGCGTTTAGCCGTGCCCATGACATCAATACACGCAACTGTGCCAATATATTGGCACGCATGCACGCAGCACGCATGCGAGTGTGTGCTTATGCGAGAAATTCGCGCATAAGTTCGGAGGCAACGCTGACGGGTGACCTTGGGCGTCAGTTCACTCTGGGATAGCATGTGCGGGCACACTGTCCGTATGACATGCCACATTGGTGTGGCTACAATGTTGATTCGAGTACGACAGGGACACACGGCCGGGCAACACTGATGTAATTTTTGTTCCCAATTTAGGATTCCAGTATCCTCATTTAGTTCCGTTCAACCCACTCATTTTGAAATTGGTGGATATATTTTAATGGACTTGACGTACATTTTTGGAATCTATCATTTATTTAGGCCGTCCCAATTATATCCACCTTATCGAAATCTCTTTGCTGTCAAACAAGAATTTGCATCCTCACTAGAGTTTTGCTCGATCTCTTGAAGTAATCAGCTGTAGAGTGAATTCCGGGATAGGTTAAATTGTAGACAATGCTTGTGTGTGAGGCTACGTGGTTGAGAAGGGCTATTTCTAAGTCGGAGGACTTTCGAATTTTCTCTATTGATTCGTTCATGCTTCCTCTGTTCTTGGGTGGATTGACCCTCAATTTATCGAACTGTTTCAAATGCACATTTACCGTTTTCCGTTTTACTCCTTTCCGTGATTCCTGCATTATCCCAAGCATAGACACAAATTTAAAATGGGCAGCTGGTATTGACCGTCGAGTAAAATATATTGAAAACTACCTTTCAAATATGAAGACCCGAACGATCGGTTGACAAACACTGGAAATATCACTTTTTTCATCATTGAGTTTTCCCCATTCCACTTTACTGTTCTTCTGGATGTATCCTTTCTACCCCGTGATGACATACGTAGCAGATGACTATGAATTACACACTCCTCCAACCGTGAAAACGCTGCATAGAAAATCCCTATTGATACCATCATCATCATCATCATCATCATCATCATCATCATCATCATCATCATCATCATCA